AAGCAGGAAAGTAAAGTTGTGGCGATCTACCTAACCCTAGGTCATATCTTGGTGGGTCCTTATTAGTTTGATTAAGTTTTAGAAAATGCCCTATTTTTTGGCTTGAAAATGAGCTCTGAAATTGAGCTCACAGTGGGGAAATTAGGGCTGGAAGTTAGTGAAGATGAGGTTAGGAATGCTAGGGGAAGGCTTGGGAGCAATTTTGGGGCCTTCCTTTGAAAATTTCAGCCCCCTCCTTGGCCGTGGGGGATGGCTGTTTAAATAGCCCTGGCCAGGGCCACTCTCAGGGCAAGCTAGGGGTTGATTAGGAATGCTAGGGGAAGGCTTGGGAGCAATTTTGGGGCCTTCCTTTGAAAATTTCAGCCCCCTCCTTGGCCGTGGGGGATGGCTGTTTAAATAGCCCTGGCCAGGGCCACTCTCAGGGCAAGCTAGGGGTTGAGATTAACTGCCTTGATGAGGAGAAGAAGATCCCAAGTGACCAATGACAGTGGGACACATCAACAAGACTTAATTTAATTTTAAACCAAGTTAGCTGCTCTCGGGCTGATGTTTTCTGGCCACTTGGTCGGCCGACCATGGCAAGGGGAGGTGGCTAGGTGTCCAGGGACCTAAGAGGAATATGTCACAGCAATTTAATGGGCTAAGGTTTAATTTTGGAAAAAAGAATCTTAAGCTTAAGCAATTATGGGATGAAATCCCTTGATTTAAGGGACCATTGGTCCATGGCTTAGCTTAGGTGGTTAGGTGAGTTTTGGCTCAGTCTTAGGGTCCAACTAATGGCTGTGGAGTCATTAATTTGATGGCTTTGGGGTGGTTAGGATACATTTAGTGCATGGGTCCAAGTGGGTGCAAATGACCAAAACTTGGGTTTGGGTTAGGCTAGTCATGTCCTTGAGCCTAATTGATTGATGCACTTGATGTAGATGATTGTAATGAACATTTTTTGTGAAGGATGAAAAGGGGTTTGAGTTCAATTGGAGGGTTTTGGAGATTTTCATACCTATTTTATGTTGTTTTTGGAGATTTTCATACATATTTTTGGCCAAGAAAAATATGTTGAGATTTTCATACCTATTTTATACCGTTTCTGATGATATTGCACTTTAAATAAAGGAATTTTTGATGTTTTATTGTAGGAATGATGAATTAGGGTCATTGAAGTAAAAAGATGCAAAAAGGAGCGAATTTGGAGCAAAAAGGACCAAAATGTGGAGATTTTAACTAGGCCGCCGACAGCGCCCTTGACCCCGCCGACGACAAGTTTTTTTCAAGGCTACAGGACAGAATTCTTTAGAAGTCAGCCGACGGCCCCCTCGAGGCCACCGACGGCGAGCTCGGCGGTTATGCCTACTCAAGCTTTGGATAAGGCCAAATTTTGAAGGGATGCTTAGGCAACTCTTGGGAAAGCTCATCCACAACTTTAATAGACTATTTTGGCCGAAAATTAAGAAGGGGGAGAGAACTTAGGGAGTCAAGGAAGTCCTAGAGAGAGTTCCTAGAGATTAGAAATGTTCCAATATTGTGAGGAATTCTTCGAGAGATTGTAAGAGTGGAGGGAAAGTGAGAGATTTCTTCCTCATTGGTGCTTCGAATAAGAATTTTGTGTGCTGTAAAGAAAGGAAGAGATTCAGAGGAATTTCGATGAGTATTCTTGGGGAGAAAATAGAGATAAATTATTTACTTATTGTAGTCTGTATGACTTTGATGTTATATATGAATGTCGAGTTTTGTTGTGTTTTCCCCATGAGATCTGAGTAGTTTTCTTTGTCTTTCTCATTGTCTCGAGATTTGTGAATTGGTGATTTGAATTGGTGAAGCCATAAAAATGTTTAAGAAATTGTGATGATCTTTTCACTT